GGCTAATGAGTTACGAGAACTTACTGCTCTTGCAGAGGACCCGTATCTGGTTCCCAGCAACCACATGGCCTCTTACAGCTGTCTGTAACTCAAATTCCCAGAGATCTGATACTCTCTTTTGTCCTCTGTGGGTTCCTGCACATACTAGTGCAGGATGCCACTCAGGATCACACACATACACATAAATAATTGTTTATGAAATAAAAAATATTCATCTGTATTGTTATTTTCTTAAGGTAGGTGTCTGCTATGGTTACTGGAACTATTTTCTCAAGGTCTTCCTTCAATTTACATTGATAAAGTAATTTCTTGCTCCTGGGCTTGCAAGATGGCTCAATAGGTAAAGACATTTGCTTAGATCTGACACTCCAGGTGAATATCAGAACCCACAAATGGTGGAAGGAGAAAACTGACTCCACAGTTGTGCTCTGATACCCACATGTATGCTGTGGCAAGCATCCCATACCCTCCATCATGAATGTGCACACACAATAATAACAAATAATTCAAATAATAACAAATAAAAAGGCCGTTCCAACACATGCTCCTGGCAGAGCCCATGGCTTCTTCCTATACTTCCATCAGTACTGAATGCGATTATCCACAAGCAATGACAACTTTACATTAAACCCTATTCCAGTAGGGTAGGTAAAGTGAACATGAATTATATAGTTTTTAAACACTAGAAACAAGCAGAGGAAAGGTATGTTAGTAATCTTTCTCATAAGATTAGTGGGGCTGAAGGGATGACTCAGTGGTTATAAGTACCAACTGTTGTTGCAGAAGATCGAGATCTGGTTTCCAGCATCCTCATGATGCTCACAACCACCCATAACTCCAGTTCTGGAGGGCCTGATGCCTTCTTCTGACCACCTTATGTGACTCCTGTAAAATACACATTGGGATCTATACTTTTTTTTTTTTATTAAAACATATGTGATTCCCTGGCTATGCTTGTACATAGGAAACATGAACAGATACAAGTACTTAATGTCAACAGGCAGGTCTTGGCACCAGCATGTCTAAAAGTCCCTAGATGACAAACCCTTCTCTCTCACCTTGAGATAATCAACCCAGTAGTGTGTTCCCACTGCATACCAAAGCCTTTTCCAAACCTGCACCTGTAGTATCTTTTGGGAATGTCATCAGCGCTAAGTGCTGTCTGGGTTTGAATTCCACATTCCAGTTTCTAAGAAAACAGAACTGCCCTTTGACAAACCAGCAGTTCCACTTGCTTCACAGGAACCTCTGCTATCTTCAGTTCGTTGTAACCTTCACTGTGATTATGAGGTCTTGGAGAGCAAGGCAATGTTTAGCCCCAAGGACTAAACTTTGTCTCGAGGGATGCACAATACTAGTAACAAACTAACAGACAAAAACACATGCTCCCGGTCTGAAACACACACTCCTATTCTCACTTATATTTCCTACAAGCCCCTCTCCTCTTCCTAGTACAGATGCTGCACATCTATCTGGCCAGCAAGACCAAGACACCTGCTGGAGGGATCCCTGGTTCTGCAGCATCAACCTCTACATGTTCTGTTATCACGCACTGTTCTGTACAGCAACCCTAAGTCAAAGGAGACAGCGTCATTCCTCAACATGTCCTAAAACATGTAATTCCTCCCAAGCCAGCCAGGGCTCCATAGTGAGGCTCTGCTCAAAATAAATAAGTAAATAAATAAATGAATAAATAATTCCTTCAAGGATTTTTTTTTTTTGCTAACTGTATTTGAGAAGCGTGTTCAAACTTAAGAGTTAAGCAAATGTTTTTGCTTGTTTGTTTGTTTAATACAGTTACCTGATCATCTATGCATCTCTTCTCAATGCTGGTTCCCTATCTCTGAGAGGGTTCATGGAGACCTGGACATTTCCTGATAACAAGTTTACTTTCCCACCATTTATCTACTTTTGAGCCAGGGAACTGGAATGCAGTAAGAATTAATCTAGGTTTTATCATCTTGCCTCAGACTCCCAAAGAGCCAACATTTTAGATGTGTGCTACCCTACCCCACCCCTAAACTTCCATGTATGTGCATGTCTCAAAATCAAAACAACATAACAGCAAAAGAAAATCAATTTTACACAAGTGAGTTTGCTCTTCTAGTGTTGACAAAAGAAAACACAAGTCGTACCCTAAATTGTTGAATTCAGCTCTTCAAGGGAGCAGTATATTTTTACATGACAGGATAATAACTAGCCAAGAGTCAACCAGAGCCATGTTTCTGTAGGGTTGGCTGGAAGGTTAAACTGATGACATGATGATAATGCTTCCTTTGTTAGCCAAGCTCTATTAGCACAGAGAGCAAACATTGTCTTACTCTTTCTTGCATTCTTTACTGGTGGAAGGGACTCAGGACCTGAAGATAAAATGCTGGCAGCCACCCTAGGCATTGTGACATTCTCATCTCCAGCCCCAATGGCTACTTAGTCATCAAGTACCTGCCACTTCTCAGGCGGCTGTTCCCTCCTTCCCTCTGTGTTCACTCTTCACTACCTTAGACTGGAATTTTCTCTCTCATCAGTTTAATAGTCATAGTGAGGGTCCCTGGAGGGCAGAGGCCAGAGTGTCATCTTCCCAACCTCACACCCTGTGGTGCCATACACAGCACTGCAGGCTCCTGACCACCTGTTCTTCACAGGCAAGGACAGTTCAGAACGTATTGAGAAGCCCTGCCCACAACATGTGGCGATCATCTAGTTATGTCTTAAGGTCTAGCTCAAGCCTGATGCTGAAGCTTCCTGGCCCTTCCCTCTCCTTTCCAGTAGACTCAATCCTTCGCTCTGACCAGGAGATTAGTGATTAGTTTTTAGTTTTTAGCAGAGGACACCCAAGAGCAAGGGATCATTTCGAATGCCAACAAGCACAGAGACAGGAGTGAAAGTATGTCTTCTCTAAGCACTGCGGTGGGCAGGAGGGCCTTTCTACATGGTGGCCTCACGGTGAAGCACAGGAGCTGTTTCAGAAAATAAGACTTGGAGCCTATGTCATCTCAAGGGAGAGCAATTTTGCCCATTTTCTTTTGTGAAATGGAAGTGTCTTTATGATTCACATGGTCAGACCCTTTCTGTATAAACCAACCAGGAGGCAGTCTAGGCATTAGGAGTTCCAGTTTGTCAATTACTCATATAATCACTGATCACATAGGTAAATCTAATAGTTGTCAAGGATTTAGAAGTAAAGCAGACATTTCTTGGGTCCAAGTGGCTATTTAGACACAGTCAGTAGAGCAAGGAAACCAACCTCCCATGGAGTACCTCCTGGTTTTCTAGAACATTATAACTCATGTTTCCTTATACTTAAAAAAAATTTCATGTGAAATAATTGTTTCTTTCACCTAATTTAAGAAAAATGCTCCAACATATTGTTAGGATCTTACTAAGTTCCACATCCTTTATAATTAAGGGCCTGGCCTCCTAGATCAAAGGGTGTGCCACTGCCAGTCTGCACCTCTCGAACTCTTTTCCCTTACTACTAATGCTCCTGTCACAGCAACACATTTCTCAATGAAGAACTCAAACTATTACCAATGTTTAAATGAACCAAACAGCAAACTTGCACTCACCACGGAACTCTTACACAGTAGGCAAACATATACTCTAAAGTATCCTTAGGAAACTGAGAAGCTAGATTTTATAATTAGGTTAATATTCCATAGTATGACTTTCAAAATGAATGGGGATTCTCTTTCAAACAAAATATGTCAAAAGCACTAGCTAAAAGACTTCTTGGTAGCTTTTTTCAAACTGTTATTTTTGTCCCTGAAGACTGCTAAAGCTGTGGAGGTTGTGCAAACAGTACTGACATTGTACACAATTTCAGCTGATGGCCTCCAACTCTTGTGTGCATTTTGAAACATAGCTGAAGGAAGCTTTTCAACTGACAGAATCAATGTAACAGATGCCAAGCAACTTTAAAACTACTAAAACATTGTTAGGAAGAAACACACAAAAGGATTGCATTTGTTTTGTGATCTTAACTCTAAAATGTTCTTCAGGCTAAATCATGACTGGGAAGAAGAAATCCTAATCAGACTCGGTTGAGTCAATCTGAGTCATGACATGACTGCAAAACTGGGTTCAAGGGCATGGAATCACTTTTCCTAACTCAAATCTGCTACGGGCAATTCACCTGTCTTGCAGATATGCCTAAGTACCAGGCAGATGTTCATAAAAAATTTCTTGTTGCATGCTAACGTTTTTTAATCTTTGTTTTCTGAAGGAGAAAAAGCATAGCTGAGAAGCCATTATATTTGCAGCTCGACATCAGGAGAATTAAGGAATATAAGCTAAAAACACCTTACAACTTGTTCTTAGAAAAAGTCAAGAGACCACAAAGAGTAGTTGCAACTGTAAACACAAGTATGCATGCCTATATATAGTATACATGTACAAACACAATGGCTCGTAGATTGCATGCACAGGAATGACTATACTAGTAACACTTAGCTCTCAAGATACGCTTTTTTGTTAAGAGTCCTTAAGCACTGAATTTAAACTTGTTTTCCCACCTAATACTATTTAAAAAGAGTAACTTTTTCAGATATCTTCTGGGTGCCATCGGCTGCTTCACAATATCCAGTTGACCGGACACTACTCTAGCTTTTCCACCAGATTTGTTACATCTTGTAACTACAATTTTGTTTTCTTAACTTACTGTTAGGAATCACTAATTTCAATAATATTTTAAAGTAAGACCAACACAATTGATAGCTCTTTCCCCATCTGTTAGCCACTGGTGTTTAAATGACCTCAACTGTTCCCTTTGAAGGGCTTTCAGACAAAGAACTATAACAGAACACAAGCTCCTATCGAAAGGAGACCTCAGGGGGTAGGGGAAAAAATCCTTTCACCAGAGGGGCGGGGGTGCAGAGAAGCAAAGCCCTAGACAATAATAAAAGCCAAGGGGGGGGCTTCTCATCTCCTCTGACCCCTCCCAGCCCCTGTGACAATGAGGATGCTGCTGAGGCCAGGGGCTAACAGCTGGGGGCTGACCATACCTTCATGGGTAGGCTCTGGGTCAGGTGTCAGGGAGATGTCATCCAGCTCTCGAAGGCAGAGCCATTCTCCATCCATAGACACTCGGAATTTGCAAAGGTAGATGGTCTCCATGGCAGCCTGTGTGATCTTGTCAGTGGTGGGGGTTGGCATATCAGTCGGAGGCGTCAGGGCAGACATGATGACTCAGCTGGGACCACAACACACACACACACACACACACACACACACACACACACACACACACAAATAAATAAGACCTCTGTACCCTCAAAAAATCCCAAATCCCAAGCTCTTAAACAAAGCTTTTAGAAAATGGGATAGGAGAGGTTTAAAAAAAAAAAAAGGAAAGAGAAGAAAAATACCTTGTGGAAAAAACTGCTCAAAATAAACAATCAACTCTACACTATTTTCTTACTGGCAATTCCTATCAGCAAAATTAGATGGTGTCTGTCTTCTCCCAGCGTCCTCTCCTTTTATCTTTCTTTCCCTTTATCCAAGTCAGGCTATCTATAGGCTTAAATCCTACACACCCAATGCTGTCTTATAAGGCTGTCTTTCAAAAAATGGTATTAGCATGAATAAGTGAAAAAAAAAAATCCTCCTTCTCTGTGCAGAAAAAAAATACAAAAGAAAAAATACCAAAAAAAAATCAACCTATATTTTCAATTTATTTTAAAAAATTTTGAGCAGCAGAAATCACTACAGGACCTGCACAGACGATCCGGGATGCGGAGTTCTAACAGGATTGGCTGTGCGCAGTAAGCAGGGTGTTGACCAAAATGGCTGACTAATGAACTGAACTGAAAATTCAGGCTCATGTGACCAGCTGCTCTGAGCACCGGGCGGGCTAGCAATTCCCAGGATGCTGTATAGATGCTGCTGATGCAGGAAGAGCAATTAGGCTGCTTCTCTCATCCTGCACAGCCCACTTCCAGACTGTGCTAGTCAAACTACGATCAGACCTAACACAATGCACAGATCATCATCAATTCTCTACACTCTTGGATAGAAGGGCAGGAAAAAAAAGGCAGTATTAGGTAATGCCCTGTGATAAAAAGCAATTAGAATAATTTGCTATGCACAATTCACTTCTACCCTTGTAGTTCAGTTACTGAAATTCTTTACTACACTAAAAGGTGACTTTTTTCTCCCCTTCAAGACAGGGTTTCTCTGAGTAGCCCTTGCTGTGCTGGAACTCAGTAGACCAGGCTGGCCTTGAACTCACAGGGATCTGCCTGTCTCAGCCTCCTGAGTGCTGGGGTTAAAGGCGTGTACCACCCAGCAAAAGATGACATTTTTAAGAAAAGCTAAAGCAAGCTTTTTAAGAATCTTATTCTCAGGCATTTATAATTTGTTTTTTCTAAAATACAAAGTACTAACTTTTTAAGACAGGAAAAACATTTTTTTGTTGTTTGTTTTTTGAGACACGGTTTCTCTGTGTAGCTTTGGAGCCTGTCCTGGAACTCGCTCTGTAGTTCAGGCTGGCCTCAAACTCACAGAGATCCTACTGCCTCTGCCTCCCTAGTGCTGGGACTAAAGGTGCTGGGACTACCACACCTGGCCAGAAACAAAAATCTTAAAGCTAAAAAGGTAAAATCCTTCGTGATCAATGGCAACCCTTTTTCCTTTTGATATTACTATATTAACCAAGTTTCTGCTTATAAACATGAGTGTATTTCTTTTTTCTTTTTCTTTTCCTTTTGTATTGCTTTGGAGGCTGGCCTGGAACTGGCTCGGTAGACCAGGCTGGCTTCAAACTCACAGAGATCCGCCTGCCTCTGCCTCCCTAGTGCTGGGATTAAAGGCGAGTACCACCAATGCCTGGCCTTGACGTGCATTTCTAAAGAGAAATAAAAACCACGTTATATTAAAAAAAACTTCCTATCCTGGAATGTACTGGGCACATCATTAAGTTCTAAAATCAGCCAACACGTGTGTGCAATGTACAATCCAATTTGTGTTAATATTCATTCCCTGAGCACACAAAGCCAGAAGTAGGTTTCTGAGCTACCTAAGTGGCAAGAAGAATACTACTACTTTGAAAACATTTTAGTGATCAAAAGAACATCTTCTCCCCTTCTATTTAAGGGTTTCAGTGTAAAGGAGAAATATACCTCTCCGAGAAAGATGGCTCAGTAGTTAAGAGCACTTGCTGCTCTTCAAGAGGATCCGGGTTCAATTCCCAGTGCCTACATGGTAGCTCACAACTGTCTGTAATTCCAAGATCTGACACCCTCACACAGGCATACATGCAGACAAAACACCAACATACATAAAATAAATTATAAATGTACATAAATAAATTATTTAAAAGAAAAGAAAGGAACTCTAGCCCAGACAGCCAGGGCTATGTAGAGACAAAGCAATCTAATCCAGCCAGGTGCGGTGAGTGGCACATGCCTGTAATTCTAGTACTCATATAATAAATTTAAGGGCATCCTCAGATGTGTAACAAGTTTGACACCGCCAGCCCAGCCTAGGTTGCATGAGACTCTACCTCAAAAGAGCGATGGGTAAGGGGGAGGGTGGAGGAGAGAAAAGGCTTAGGTCAATGATATAGTTGAAAACACAGAACAAGTACATAAATTCAGATGCTCTGTTTGTCTAGGGTCCAATACAGATTCTCCCACTATCTGCAGGGAATACATTCCATGTTTTCCAGTAGATGTCTGAAACCAATGATAGTTATTTTCTTATACTGTACATATATATGATAGCTTAATTTATAAATTAGGTAAGTAAGAGATCACTATTATAAAATAGAATCATTAAATATAATAAAGGTTAAATAAATTGTTGTCTGTTGAAAAATGACTCCCCCCCCCTTTTTTTTCTTTGAGACAGGGACTTGTGTAGCACAACCTGGCCTTGAACTCGCTATACAACTGAGAATTACTTTAGTTGATCCTCTTGCCCATACCTCCCAAGTGTTAAAATTATAGGTTTTGCTGCTACACCTGGTTTATATTGTTCTAGAGATAAGTCCAGACCTCTGTGCAATGCCAGGAAAGCATTCTAGGAACTGAACTACATTCCCAGCCCCTCAAAACATCTTTCTGTGCTGTGGAGATGAGTCAGTCAGGAAAGGGCTTGTCTTTTGAGGACAAGGACCTGAACTCAACCTCCCCTCCCTTGGGGTTGGGGGGGACACGTAAAGCAGCTGGGCCTGGTGGTGCAGCTCCAGGGAGACAGAGACAGTGCATTCTTGGGGCTTGCTGGGCAGTCTGTCTAGCATAATTGGTGAACTCCAGGCTAGTGAGAGACTGTTTCAAAAACCTAGGTGGAATGCTCCTGTGGAATATCTTCCTGTGGCCTCCACACACTCAAGTGTGTGTGCATACACACATACACACCTTATTTCCCTGAACTCAGATGTCTTCTTGCAATGACAGGAGATGGTAACAGTGCTTGCTGAGGTGGATTATGGAGGCATTATGACATAGTATTAGATGACAGCATAATGAGAACTTAACACAGGGTAGCTGACTTGATAACGGGAGGGTAGCACCTGCAACGTTGATACACTAGACAAAGAAATTCATGTCTTGAGTTCAGGGGCAGAAAGATGTAAGATCTCATAACACTATTTAGAATGGTGTGCAATTTAAAAGTAATGAATTGCTTAGTTCTGGAATTTTCACCTTAGTGTTTTCAGACTACAGTTGAGCTGCAGAAAGTGAACCCCAAAAGAGAAATCGTGGCTAAGGGACAAACACTGAACCAGTTCGGACTGATCATAAACTATGACACTCTTATCTTTTCACCAACCGGGCAATCTTTACTAATCACCAAAGGGATCAGATCTGAAGACAACACACCTGTGAAGCAGGAATGCTTAGGCTATTGACCAAGAAGCTTGGCTAAGATCCCTGGCCCCTCCTAATCCCATTCCATTCTGCTAGAGGACACAGAGAGGGAGCCCAATGCAACTACGACTTCTGGCTAGCAGAGAAAAACCCAGTGCCTGTGAGTTTGCCTTATTTGTCCATCTGTGACAGGATTGGAGTGATTTAAAAAACAAGAACTGGGTAAGAGCACCCTTACCTTTAGCGTGAGTTATACCTGTCCATCAGATAAAGGCTACTGAGTGAGTCATCACAAATTCTCATTGTTCATAAGCAATGAAATTATAAGACAGCACAACTGTTTTGTGAACAGAAGTTCACAAAAATACTTCAAAATATTTATGTGCTATTTTATATATGGTCTTTACTAATGTATAAATACATTAGCTTCACATATAAAGAACACGCTAAGCCGTTGGTAAGACATACAATCTTGACTTTTGAATGGTTTAGCAATGGTAGAGTAATTGCCCTAGCATGCACAAGATACTAAGTGCAGTCCCCAGCATCACAAAAAATAAAAATTACCCTTTCTCATGTATACACTAATTATAAGCTACATTGAACTACTTTTCTCATTTGAACCTATTTTTCAATAACTGCATATATTTGTAAGGGGGCTGTGAGGAGGGCGAAGGGGGTGGATCCCACAACACTATGGACTCTGTGCTACCTGTTCATATGGCTTGGGTTTTCCACACTGAATGACTCAAGGCAAACAAGACACACATCTCAGATGGAAGTTACATTTCTCATAGACTGGGGCTCACACTCAGATGTGGCTGTGACAAGACAAAGACAGACTTGTTAGGTCCAAGGCCCTTGTTGTGCAGTATGTGGAAAAATTACTCAATGTAATGACTTCCTTCATTGAATTTCTGTTTTCTGTTAGGTGCTTACCAAATGCCACATGGAGCCGTCCTAAGCAGGCTGCAAAGCAGACACTGGTATCTCCTCAGACACACAAGGAATTGGCCCAGGATCACACCATGGCCAGGTGACCGAGCTGCTATCTGCTACTCCAGGCAGCTCTGTTTAGGTGACTTCCCCAGCCCCCCAACACTTCTGCAACTTCAGGCAGGGCCCTTTGTAAGACCCTAAACAGAAGTTTCCAGTCCCTTATCTGAAGAGGACTTTGAAAAAAAATCAGCGTTTTCAGTTTATACCCTAAAGTCTCACAAAGCATTTCTTCTACATGGCCGGCCACCACTTTCCCCAGACTTACACACTTAGCTCAGAAACACTTCATAAAGGGATGTTTTTGAGAAAGAGAAGCCTGAGCACATTTTTCCCGTTATGTGGTGGCAAGGGCTAACCCAAATCCCTGAGCCCCCACTCCCCAGGCACCATGATGGATGCATCACTTGGTTTCCTCGGCTATCACTCTGGGGAGAGTTGGAAGCCACCTCACTGTGTACTCTTTACTCAGGTAGACCTCCAGTTAAGAACATATGATACTGTCAGGAGTGGTAGCACATGCCTTTAATCTCAACCCTTGGGAGTCAGAGGCAAGTAGATCTATGTGAGTTCAAAGCCAGCCTGGTCTACAAAGTGAGTTCCAGGACAGCAAGGTCTACACAGAAAAATAATAAGACAGGTTAAAAAAAAAAGATGATGAACATATAACATATGATACATCCAGATCCAGGAAAAAGGTAAACGAAGGGAAAATCATCTTCTAAAATGAAAATCATCTTCTAAAATGCAGACTTTCGTTTTTTCTTTTTTTAATATTTATTTATTATATATACAGTGTTGTGGCCTATATGCCTACACCCCAGAAAAGGGCACCAAACTTCATTACAGATGGTTGTGAGCTACCATGTGGTTGCTGGGAATTAAACTCAGAACCTGGAGCTGCCAGTGCTCTTAACCTCTGAGCCATCTTTCCAGTCACCGTCCTCCTCTCCCCCAAGACTTTTAAGGAACCACATCACTGTACAATTTTAATTCTGCAATGATTTAACTAGGATTTATGAAACCATTGCTCAAGTGAAGAAATGGACCAGCAACTCACAAGGATTTATGCACTCTTTCTTCTGAATTGCCTTGGCTTTTGGAAAATAATTGCAACAGTAGCAGTTCCCAACCTTTGCTTTTCAAATGGTTATCTTTGCTCTATGTGTGTAAGTGTTTTTGCTTGCATTTACTTATGTTATGCACACCACATTGGTTTC